TAGAAGCAGACACAGGTGGGAGGGAGAGCATGGAGGAAGGGAGATGGATGGAGGGAGCGTAGGAGGGAAGAGAGGGAGGAAGGGAGATAGGGTGGGAGGATATATGAGGGGGAAGGAGTATAGGGTGAGGAGAAGGGAGGGGAAGGGAGGGGAGGGAAGGAGTATAGGGGGAGGGAGAGAGTGTGGAGGGAAGGAGTATAGGGTGGGGAGGGAGTATGAAGGGAGGAGGAAGGGAGACAGGGGGGAGGGAGAGTAGGAGGGAAGGGGGGTGGAGGAGTGTATGAGGGGAGAGAGAGGGGAGAGGAGATAGGGTGGAGGAAAGTATGGAGGGAAGGGAAAGAGAGGATGGGAGGAGAGGAGGAGGGAAGGGAGGGAGGAAGGAGATAGGTGGGAGGAGAGAGGAGGAAGGAGTAAGGTGAGGGAGAGTATGGAGGAAGGGAGGAGGAAGGAGCATAGGGTGGAGGGAGAGCATGGAGGAAGGACATAGGGTGGGAGGGAGAGTATGAGGGAAGGGAGGAGTGTATGAGATAGGGTGGAGGAGAGTATGGAGGGAAGGGAGGGAGGGAGAGGGGAGGGAGAAGGAGTATAGGGTGGGAGGGAGAGATGGAGGAAGGAGCATAGGTGGGAGGAGAGTATGGAGGGAAGAGTGGGAGGGGGAGTATAGGTGGGGAGGGAGATGGAGGGAAGGGAGCAGGATGGGAGGGAGTATGGAGGGAAGGGAGTATAGGGTGGAGAGTATGGAGGGAAGGGGAGGGAAGGAAGGAGACAGGGTGGGAGGGAGAGTATGGAGGAAGGAGGAAGGAAGGAGATAGGGTGGGAGGGAGAGTATGGAGGAAGGGAGGAGGAAGGAGTAGGGGGGAGGGAGAGTATGGAGGGAAGGAGGAGGAAGGAGCATAGGGTGGAGGGAGAGTATGGAGGAAGAGAGAGTGGAGGAAGGAGATAGGGTGGGAGGAGAGTATGGAGGGAAGGGAGGAATGAAGAGTAGGGGTGGAGGGAGAGTATGGAGGAAGGAGTGGAAGGAAGGAAGATAGGGTGGGAGGGAGAGTATGGAGGAAGGGAGGGAAGGAAGGAGTATAGGGGTGGAGGAGAGTATGGAGGGAAGGGAGGGAAGGAAGGGGAGTAGGGTGGGAGGGAGAGTATAATAATAATAATAATATTAATTAACGGTTTATTGAAGAGCTTGGCAGCCAGAAGGCCGGAAAATATCAGTTACATATTGGGGGAATGGGTTATGAGTATGGGAGGGAAGGGAGGAAGCTAGTATAGGGTGGGAGGGAGTATGGAGGAAGGGAGTGGGAGAGGTTGGAGGAGACAGAACAGAGAAAATAGGTTAGGTTAGGGCTAAGCTGCGATAGGTTTAAATTAAGAAGTTAGATTAGGTAGACTGAATTAGGGTTACGTGTTAGGATAAGTTACATCTCAAATAGAAACAGTAGGTTCAAGCAGCTATCCTATCTCACCCTCTGGGCCCCCCACTTCATTCTCTTCCCACCACCCACCCTCGAGGATGATGCCTGCGGGGGCTCTTGAGGGCTCTTACCTGTGACCATCACGACAGTGTGCCCAGGAGATAATCAACCATACCAATATTGAAAGAGCACCTGGCTGGCAGGCTGGGTGGGTTGTTGTGTGTGGGGGCGTGGGGTGGATGAAGGCGAGAGGGTGGGGGTGGGGGTGTGGGTGGTTAGGTTAGGATGGGTGAGGATGAGTGAGGGTGAGTCTTATTACCATATCTGTATTGGGACTTTCTGACGTCACGACTCCATATACCCACGCTTTTGTTATATAGTGTTGTTCGTCTCGTCTGTATACATAGGTTACTGGTCTATTTAGGTCAGTATGCATAGTTTATCGTCTCATATGGTCTGTATACATATGTTGCTGGTCTATTTAGGTCAGTATACATAGTTAATCCTCTCATGTGGTCTATTTAGGTCAGTATACATAGTTTATCGTCTCATATGATCTGTATACATAGGTTACTGGTCTGTAGGTCAGTATACATAGTTAATCCTCTCATGTGGTGTCTATTTAGGCCAGTATATAGTTTATCGTCTCATATGGTCTGTATACACAGGGCTGGTCTATTTAGGCCAGTATACAGTTAATCTCTCATGTGGTCTATTTAGGTCAGTATACATAGTTAATCGGCTCTCATGTGGTCTGTATACACAGGTTACTGGTCTATTTAGGTCCGTATACATAGTTTATCGTCTCATATGGTCTGTTATACATGGTTACTGGTCTATTTAGGTCAGTATACATAGTTTATCGTCTCATATGGTCTGTATACATAGGTTACTGGTCTATGAAGCCAGTATACAGTTAATCCTCCCATGTGGTCTATTTAGTCAGTATGCATAGTTAATCGTCTCATGTATTCCTGTATACATAGGATACTGGTCTATTTAGGTCCGTATACATAGTTTATCGTCTCATATGGTCTGTATACATAGGTTGCTGGTCTATTTAGGTCAGTATACAGTTTATCGTCTCATATGGTCTGTATATTCAGGTGTTACTGGTCTATTTAGGCCAGTATACATAGTTAATCCTCTCATGTGGTCTATTTAGGTCAGTATACATGTTAATCGTCTCATATGGTCTGTATACATAGGTTGCTGGTCTATTTAGGTCCGTATACATAGTTTATCGTCTCATATGGTCTGTATACATAGGTTGCTGGTCTATTTAGGTCAGTATACATAGTTTATCGTCTCATGGTCTGTAGTACAGAGATACTGGTCTATTTAGGCCAGTATACATAGTTAATCCTCTCATGTGGTCTATTTAGTCAGTATACAGTTAATCGTCCTGGGTGGTCTGCATACAGGATACTGGTCTATTTAGGTCCGTATACATAGTTAATCGTCTCTCGTCTGTATACATAGATACTGGTCTATTTAGGTCAGTATACATAGTTAATCGTGTCATATGGTCTGTATACATAGGTTGCTGGTCTATTTAGGTCATTATACATAGTTTATCGTCTCATGGTCTGTATACATAGGTTGCTGGTCTATTTAGGCTGCTATACATAGTTTATTGTCTCATGTGGTTCTGTATACATAGGATACTGGTCTATTTAGGCCAGTATACATAGTTAATCCTCTCATGTGGTCTATTTAGGTCAGTATTACAGTTAATTCCTCTCATATGGTCTGTATGCTACAGGTTACTGGTCTATTTAGGTCCGTATACATAGAAAGTGTTGAAAATGACCAGTGTGGCGGGGTCGACTCATGCAGAGAAAATAACATTTTCAGATTTCCAACATTTCCTCGAGGGGCCAGGAGGTCAAGGGTCAGGGAAGTCAAAGGTACCAGTAGGTCAAGGCTGCCAGGAGGTCGAGAGTGCCAGGAAGCTGAGAGTGCCAGGAGGTCAAGGGTGCAGGAGGTCAAGGTGGGGCAGGAGGTCGAGGGAGTGCCAGGAGGCTAAGGGGTGCCAGGGAGGCTGAGAGTGCCAGGAGGTCGAGGGTGCCAGAGGTCAAGGGGGCAGGAGGTCGAGGTGCCAGGAGGTCGAAATAACTGGAGGTCAAGGCTGGGAGGTCGAGAGCAGGGAGGTCGAAGGTGCCAGGAGGTCAGGGGTGCAGGAGGTCAAGGGTGCCAGGAGGTCGAGGGTGCCAGGAGGCCGAAGGTGCCAGGAGGTCAAGGGAGCCAGAAGGTCAAGAGTGCCAGGAGGTCAAAGCTACCAGGAGGTCAAGGGTGCCAGGAGGTCAAGAGTGCCAGGATGTCAAAGGCACGGAAGTCAAAGGTGCCAGGAGGTCGAGATGCCAGGAGGTCGAGGGTGCCAGGAGGTCAAAGGTGCCAGGAGGTCGAGGGTGCCAGGAGGTCGAGGTGCCAGGAGGTCGAGGGTGCCAAGAGGTCAGGGTGCCAGGAGGTCAAAGGTGCCAGGAGGTCGAGGGTGCCAGGAGGTCGAGGGTGCCAGGAGGTCGAGGGTGCAAGGAGGTCAAGAGCAGGAGGTCGAGGGTGCAGGGAGGTCAACGATGCCAGGAGGTCGGAGGTGCCAGGAGGTCAACCAGCAGGAGGTCAAGAGTGCTAGGGAGGTCATGGGTGCTGGGAGGCCGAGTGCCAGGAGGCCAAGGGTGCCAGGCCAAGGAGCAGGAGGTCAAGGGGTGTCAGGAGGTCGAGGGGTGCCAAAAGGTCGAGGATGCCAGAAGGTCGAGGTGCCAGGAGGTCAAAGGTGCCAGGAGGTCGAGGGTGCCAGGAGGTCAACGGTGCCAGGAGGTCGAGGGGAGCAGGAGGGCAACGGTGCCAGAAGGTCAGAGCAGGAGGTCGAGGGTGCCAGGAGGTCAACGGTGCCAGGAGGTCGAGGTGCCAGGAGGTCGAGGGTGCCAGGAGGTCAACGGTGCCAGGAGGTCGAGGGGTGCCAGGAGGTCGAGGGTGCCAGGAGGTCGAGGGGTGCCAGGAGGTCAAGGGTGCTGGGAGGTCGAGGGTGCCAGGAGGACGAGGGTGCCAGGAGGTCAAGGGGTGTCAGGAGGTCGAGGTGCCAGGAGGACGAGGGGCCGGGAGGTCGAAAGTACTAGGAGGTCGGCTGCCAGGAGGTCGAGAGTGCCAGGAGGCTGGCGGGTGCCAGGATGTCAAGAGTGCCAGGAAGTCAAAGGTGAGGAGGTCGAGGATGCCAGGAGGTCAACGGTGCCAGGAGGTCAAAGGTGCCAGGAGGTCGAGGGTGCCAGGAGGTCAACGGTGCCAGGAAGTCAAGGTGCCAGGAGGTCGAGGGTGCCAGGAGGTCAACGGTGCCAGGAGGTCGAGGTGCCAGGAGGTCGAGGGTGCCAGGAGGTCAACGCAGCCAGGAGGTCGAGGGTGCCAGTAGGTCGAGGGTGCCAGGAGGTCAAGGGATGTCAGGAGGTCGAGGGTGCCAGGAGGACGAGGGTGCCGGGAGGTCGAGTACTAGGAGGTCAAGGCCAGGAGGTCGAGAGTGCCAGGAGGTCAAGGGTGCCAGGAGGTCAAGAGTGCCAGGAAGTCAAAGGTACCAGGAGGTCAAGGCTGCCAGGAGGTCGAGAGTGCCAGGAGGTCGAGAGTGCCAGGTCATGGGTGTCAGGAGGTCAAGGGTGCCAGGAGGTCGAGTGCCAGGAGGTCAAGGTGCCAGGAGACGAGGTGCCAGGAGGTCGAAAGAACTAGGAGGTCAAGGCTGCCAGGAGGTCGATAGTGCCAGGAGGTCGAAGGTGCCAGGAGGTCGAGAGTGCCAGGAGGTCGAGAGTGCCAGGAGGTCATGGGTGCCAGGAGGTCAAAGGTGCCAGGAGGTCGGGGGTGCCAGGAGGACGAGGGTGGCAGGAGGTCAGAAAGTACTAGGGTGGTGTGGGAGTCGAAATGGTGCCAGGAGGTCAGAAGGTGCCAGGAGGGTCGAGATGTGGGAGGTCAGAAGGTGCCAGGAGGTCATGGGTGCCAGAGGTCAAGGTGCCAGGAGGTCGAGGAGCCAGGAGGTCGGTGCCAGGAGTCGAGGTGCCAGGAGTCCGAGGTGCCAGGTCAAAGGGTGTCAGGAGGTCAGAGCCAGGAGGTGGGAGGTCAGTGCCAGGAGGTCGAGGTGCCAGGAGGTCAAGGGGTGTCAGGAGGTCAAGAGTGCCAGGAGGTCAAAGGCTACCAGGAAGTCAAGGGTGCCAGGAGGTCAGAGTGCCAGGATGTCAAGGCACAGGAAGTCAAAGAGTGCCAGGAGGTCGAGGGTGCCAGGAGGTCGGGGTGCCAGGAGGTCAAGGAGCCAGAAGGTCAAGAGTGCCAGGAGGTCAAAGCTACCAGGAGGGCAAGGGTGCCAGGAGGTCAGAGTGCCAGGATGTCAAAGGCACAAAAGTCAAAGGTGCCAGGAGGTCGAAGGTGCCAGGAGGTCGAGGATGCCAGAAGGTCAGGGTGCCAGGAGGTCAAAGGTGCCAGGAGGTCGAGGGTGCCAGGAGGTCAAGGGTGCCAGGAGGTCAAGGTGCCAGGAGGTCAGGGTGCCTGGAGGTCAAGGGTGCCAGGAGTCAAGAGTCAGGAGGTCAAGAGTGCCAGGAGGTCAAGGGGTGTCAGGAGGACGAGGGGTGTCAGGAGTTGGGGTGCCAGAAGGTCAAGGGTGCCAGGAGGTCGAAGGGTGCCAGGAGGTCGAAGGGTGCCAGGAGGTCAAGAGCCAGAAGGTCAAGAGTGCCAGGATCAAAGCTACCAGGAGGTCAAGGTGCCAGGAGGTCAAGAGTGCCAGGAGGTCAGGGGTACCAGGAGGTCGAGGTGCCAGGAGTCCAAGGTGCCAGGAGGTCTGCCAGGAGGTCAGCAGTGCCAGGAGGTAAGAGGTGCCAGGAGGTCGAGGGTACCAGGAGGTCAAGGGTGCCAGGAGGTCAAAGGTGCCAGGAGGTCAAGGGTGCCTGGAGGTAAAAGGTGCCAGGAGGTCAGGTGCCAGGAGGTCAAGAGTGCCAGGAGGTCAAGGGTGTCAGGAGGACGGGGTGTCAGGAGGTTGAGGGTGCCAGGAGGTCGAGGTGACAAGAGGTCAAGGGTGCCAGGTCAAGGGTGCCAGGAGGAACAAGAGTGCCAGGAAGTCAAAGGTACCAGGATGTCAAGGCCATGAGAGGTCGAGGCAGGAGGTCGAGAGTGCCAGGAGTCGAGGGTGCCAGGAGGTTAAGGGTGCCAGGAGGTCGAGGTGCCAGGAGGTCAAAGTACTGGGAGGTCAAGGCTGCCAGGGAAGGTCAAGTGCCAGGAGGTCGAGAGTGCCAGGAGGTCGAAGGTGCCAGGAGGTCATGGGTGCCAGGAGGTCAAGAGTGCCAGGAGGTCAAAGTGGGAGGTCAAGGTGTCAGGAGGAGGGGTGTCAGGAGGTAGGGTGCCAGGAGGTCGAGGGTGCCAGGAGGTCAAAGGGTGCCAGGAGGTCAAGGGTGCCAGGAGGAACAAGAGTGCCAGGAAGTCAAGGTACCAGGATGTTAAGGCTGCCAGGAGGTCAAGAGTGCAGGAGGTCGAGAGTGCCAGGAGTCAAGGGTGCCAGGAGGTCAAGGGTGCCAGGAGGTCGAGGGTGCCAGGAGGTTAAGGTGCCAGGAGGTCGAGGTGCCAGGAGGTTAAGGGTGCCAGGAGGTCAGAGTGCCAGGAGGTCAAGAATGCCTAGGTCAAGGCTGCCAGGAGGTCGAGAGTGCCATGAGGTCAGAGGTTGCCAGGAGGTCATGGGTGCCAGGAGGTGAAGGTGCCAGGAGGTCAGAGAGCCAGGAGGTCAAGGGTGCCAGGAGGTCAGGGTGCCAGGAGGTCAGAAGGTGCCAGGAGGTCAAGGGTCAGGAGGTCAGGGGGTGCCAGAAGGTCAAGGGAGCCAGGAGGTCAGGGTGCCAGGAGGACAGGGGTGCCGGGAGGACGAGTGCCAGGAGGTCCAAGGTGAGGAGGTCGAGGGTGCCAGGAGGTCAAGGTGCCAGGAGGTCACACCGTGCCAGGAGGTCAGGGGTGCCAGGAGGTCGAGGGTGCCAGGAGGACGAGGGTGCCAGGGAGGACGAGGTGCCAGGAGGTCAAAGGTGCCAGGTCGAGGGTGAAGGAGGTCAAGAGTGCCAGGAGGTCAGGGTGTCAGGAGGACAGGGTGTCAGGAGGTTGAGGGTGCCAGGAGGTCGAGGTGCCAGGAGGTCAAGGGTGCCAGGAGGTCAAGGGTGCCAGGAGGAACAAGAGTGCCAGGAAGTCAAAGGTACCAGGATGTCAAGGCTGCCAGGAGGTCGAGAGTGCCAGGAGGTCGAGAGTGCCAGGAGGTCAAGGTGCCAGGAGGTCAAGGGTGCCAGGAGGTCGAGGTGCCAGGAGGTTAAGGGTGCCAGGAGGTCGAGGTCCGGGAGGTTAAGGGTGCCAGGAGGTCGAGGGTGCCAGGAGGTCGAAAGTACTAGGAGGTCAAGGCTGCCAGGAGGTCGAGGTGCCAGGAGGTCGAAGGTGCCAGGAGGTCATGGGTGCCAGGGTGAAGAGGTGCCAGGAGGTCGGGGAGCCAGGAGGTCAAGGTTGCCAGGAGGTCAGGGTGCCAGGAGGTCGAGGTGCCAGGAGGTCAAGGGGTGTCAGGAGGTCGAGGTGCCAGAAGGTCAAGAGCCCGGGAGGTCGAGGGTGCCAGGAGGACGAGGGTGCCAGGAGGACAGGGTGCCAGGAGGTCAAAGGTGCCAGGAGGTCGAGGTGCCAGGAGGTCAGGGTGCCAGGAGGTCAACAGTGCCAGGAGGTCGAGGTGCCAGGAGGTCGAGGGTGCCAGGAGGACAGGGTGCCGGGAGGACGAGGGTGCCAGGAGGTCAAAGGTGCCAGGAGGTCGAGGGTGCCAGGAGGTCAAAGATGCCAGGAGGTCAAGGGTGTCAGGAGGTCAAGGGTACCAGGAGGTCAGGGTGCTAGGAGGTCGTGGGTGCCAGGAGGTCAAGGGTGCCAGGAGGTCAAGGTGCCAGGAGGCCAAGGGGTGCCAGGAGGACGAGGGTGCCAGGAGGTCAAAGGTGCCAGGAGGTCAACAGGTGCCAGGAGGTCAACAGTGCCAGGAGGTCGGTGCCAGAAGGTCGAGGGTGCCAGGAGGACAGGGTGCCGGGAGGACGAGGATGCCAGGAGGTCAAAGGTCCAGGAGGTCGAGGGTGCCAGGAGGTCAACGGTGCCAGAAGGTCGAGGGTGCCAGGAGGACGAGGGTGCCGGGAGACGAGGGTGCCAGGAGGTCAAAGGTGCCAGGAGGTCGAGGTGCCAGGAGGTCAACGGTGTCAGGAGGTCAGGGTGCAGGAGGTCGAGGGTGCCAGGAGGTCGAGGGGTGCCAGGAGGTCAAGGGTGTCAGGAGGTCAATGGTACCAGGAGGTCAGGGGTGCAGGAGGTCGTGGGTGCCAGGAGGTCAAGGGTGCCAGGAGGTCAAAGGTGCCTGGAGGTCAAAAGTGCCAGGAGGTCAAAGGTGCCAGGAGGTCAAGGGTGCCAGGAGGTCAAAGGTGCCAGGAGGTCAGAGTGCAAGGAGGTCAAGGGTACCAGGAGGTCGAGGGTGCCGGGAGGTCGAGGTGCTGGGGAGGTGGGTGCCAGGAGGTCAGGGTGCCAGGAGGTCAAGGCAATGGAGTCAAGGGATGCCAGGAGGTCGAGGGTGCCAGGAGGTCAAGGGTGCCAGGAGGTCGAGTGCTAGGAGGTCATGGGTGCTAGGAGGTCAAGAGTGCCAGGAGGTCAAGGCCAGGTCAAAGCAGGAGGTCAAGGGGTGTCAGGAGGTCGAGGGTGCCAAGAGGTCACGGGTGCCAGGAGGTCAAAGGTACCAGGAGGTCAAGGATGCCAGGAGGTCGAGGGTACCAGGAGGTCAAGGGTGCTAGGAGAACAAGGTGGCAGGGTGTAAAATTGGATCTTACTCTAGTGGAGGCTTGCGTAAGAGTGGCATACATTGAGCTTTCTGACGCATCTAAGAAATGGCTAAATTAGGGCATTGTCACTATCTAACTTAACCTGACGCTAATCCTGACCCACCCTAACTAAACCAACTTAACCTAACTAAACCTCCAATCTCATAACAAAAACTTCATACACACACACACACACACAAGACAGTGGCCGCCTGGTGTGTGTGTGTGTGTGTGTGTGTGTGTGTGTGTGTGTGTGTGTGTGTGTGTGTGTGTGTGTTGCTCCCTGCCACAACCTTGGCCCAGAAATCTTGAAACACAGAAAGACGTGAATAAATAGAGACCCCTTGAGGTCGGTAGTGTGTGTGTGTGTGTGTGTGTGTGTGTGTGTGTGTGTGTGTGTGTGTGTGTGTGTGTGTGTGTGTGTGTGTGTGTGTGTGTGTGTGTGTGTGTGTGGTGTAATCATGACTGTTAACTGTATGTGGATTCAGCTGGAGAAATTAAGCTACAATATGATGATGATGACGATGACGATGATGATGACGACGATGATGATGATGATGATGATGATGATGATGATGGTGACGATGATGATGATGATGATGATGAGGATGATGATGATGGTGACGATGATGATGACGATGATGATGACGATGATGATGACGATGATGATGATGACGATGATGATGATGATGATGACGATGATGATGATGACGATGATGACGATGATGACGATGATGATGACGATGATAGACGATGACGATGATGACGATGATGATGACGATGATGATGATGATGACGATGATGATGATGACGATGATGACGATGATGACGATGACGATGATGATGATGATGACGATGACGATGACGATGATGATGACGATGATGATTATTATATTTCGTTATAATTGAAGCCTTCTAACAGAGTATATGTAAAAGAATAGTCCTTTAAATGGAAGTCCGTTATGCAAATGTCCGTTATACAGAAGTCCGTTATACAGAAGTCCGTTATACAGAAGTCCGTTATACAGAAGTCCGTTATACAGAAGTCCGTTATATAGAGGTTCTACCGTATGCAAATAACCCACACGTTTGAAAACAAATCCAGTCGAGATAAAGTAGATGACAGGCCACTCCTTGACGTCATCACCAGCAGCCACTTGTGATTGGAGGACAGTACACCACTCCCACTTCAGTATGCTAATGACGTCATGGAGTGTTTTATTGGGTTACTTTTAGGAGGAGGGGGGGTTAAATCACTGAATGGTCCCCCACACCCCCTCACCCCTCCTCACCCTCACCCTCCAATCCTCAATCTTTCTCCCCCCCTACCTGCCTCCTCCTCCTCCCCTACCCATCTCCTCCCCCTCCCCCCCAGATGGTGGTTTAACTGATTTGACGATGTGTGGGGGATGGGGTTAGGTTAGGTTTTCTAATTATAGATTTACTCTCTCTCTCTCTCTCTCTCTTCTCTCTTCTTCTTCTCTCTCTCTCTCTCAAAATGAATATGTATATGTATGCTGTAGTAATGTATACATATAAGAGAGAGAGAGAGAGAGAGACTAGTACAACAGCATAACAATAGGGGGCAGGCTATAGCTCTATCACTTTTATTAATATTTTTATCATCTTTATTATTAGTAGTAGTATTAGTATTAATTTTATTATCACACACACACACAGCACACACACACACACACACACACACACACACACACACACACACACACACACACACACACACATTCTACACACACACACACACACACACACACACACACACACACACACACACACACACACACACACACACACACCACACACATATATTCTTTTACTACTACACACACACTATTATTATTATTCACACACACACACACACATATACACACACACATATACACACACATTATTGTTATACATTACTATTATTATTATTATTATTATTTATTATTATTACTATTGTTAATTATTATACATATATATATTTTTACATTTACATACATTATTATTATTATTTTATTATCATACATATATACATATTAGTATAGTAGTAGTATTAGTAGTAGTATTAGTTTGTTACAGATCCGTATTCAACTAATTAACACAGATAGGATAGCTTATGTATTAGGATATTTAATATTAAGGTAATTAAATGGTATATGTGGCTATTGGGGAGGCTGGAGGCTACGTTCAAAAAAAAATAAAAAGTAATATTAGCAGTAATACTGAAGTAATATCCAATTTGTATTTTTAATGACATCATTAGTGTTAATAGCTTAAATAATATTAACATTATTAATATTATTCTATATCTTGCTTCGTTAATACGTTGAATTACATTAAATCTTAGGTATATTTACCAATTATTTAACATATATTACTTTTATTAACTTGTTATTAATCAATTTAACATTTTAACATTCTGTTTTATTGTCACCTTTCGTTATTAACATTTTTAACATCATTATTTTCTACGTACAGATAAGTTAATAGCAGGATATTATTTATTTATTTATATTTTTAGGTTCGTACGTAACTCGTGACTCACTTAAGCTACCACACAAAGAGTAATTCTCAGAGGCTGTAACTTCCTCCTTCCCTCCCTCCTCCTCCTTCCTCCTTCCTTCCTTCCTCCTTCCCTCCTCCTTCTTTCCCTCCCCCCTCCCTCCTTCCCTTCCTCCCTCCTCCTTCTTCCTTCTCTCCTTCCTTCCTTCTCCTTCCCCATTCCTTCCTCCCTTCCCTCCCTCCCTTCCCTTCCTTCCTTCCTTCCTCCTTCCTTCTCCTTCCTCCCTTTGTCTCCTCCTCCTTCCTTCTCTCCTTCCCTCCTTCCTTCCTCCTCCTCCTCCTTCTCCTTCCTTCCTTCTCTCTCCCCCTTCCTTCCTCCCTCCCTCCTTCCTTCCTTCCTTCCTTCCTCCTTCCTCCTTCCTTTCTCCCTCCTTCCTCCTTCTTTCTTCCTCCTTCCTTCCTTCCTTCCTTCCTTCCTTCCTTCCTCCATACCTCCTCCTTCCCTCCCACTCCCTCCCTCCTCTTACCTTCCCTCCCTCCGTCCTTCCTTCCTTCCTTCCCTCCTTCCTTCCTTCCTCCCCCCTCCTTCCTTCCTCCTTCCTTCCTCCTTCCTTCCTTCCTTCCTTCCCTTCCTTCCTTCCTCCTTCCTTCCTTCCTTCCTTCCTTCCTTCCCCTCCCATACCTTCCTCCCTTCCTCCTTCCCTCCCTTACTCCTCCCTCCCACCTTCCTCCTTCCTTCCTTCCTTCCTTCCTTCCCTCCTTCCTTCTCCTTCCTTCCTCCTCCTTCCTTCCTTCCTCCTTCCTTCCTCCTCCTTCCCTTCCTTCCTTCCTTCCTTCCTTCCTTCCTCCTTCCTCCCTTTCCTCCTCCTTATTTTCCTTTTACCCTCCATATCCTTCCTACTCCTTCCCCTTCCCCTACCTCCCAGTACTGAATATGTGAGGCCGCCTCACTTAACTCTGCTTTGCTATGACACGAAGATGGATTCTCAAAGGCCATGTGTATTGAGTTCTCTCCACCTCCTCCACCTCTCTCTACCTCCCTCCACCTCTCTCTACCTCCCTCCACTTCCTCCACCTCCTCCACTCTCTCCACCTCCCTCCACCTCTCTCCCTCCTCCTCTTCCACCTCCTCCACCTCTCACCTCCTCCACCTCCTCCACCTCCTCCACCTCTCTCTCCACCTCCTCACCTCTCTCACTCTTCCACTCCTCCTCCACCTCCATTCAACCCTCCACTCCCAGGAGAGTGAGAAGAGAGAGAGAAGAGGAGGAGAGAGTGGAGAAGAGAGAGAAGAGGAGGAGAGGGAGAAGAGAGAGACAAGAGGAGGGGAGGGAGAAGAAAGAGAGAAGAGGAGAGAGGAGGAGAGAGACAAGGGTGAGGAGAGGGAGAAGAGAGAGACAAGAGGAGAGAGTGGAGAAGAGAGAGAGAAGAGGAGGAGAGGGAGAAGAGAGAGAGAGAAGAGGAGGGAGAGGGAGAAGAGAGAGAGAAGAGAGGAGAGGAGAAGAGAGAGAGAAGAGTGAGGAGAGGAGAAGAGAGAGAGAAAGAGTGAGGAGAGGGAGAAGAGAGAGAGAAGAGGAGGAGAGGGAGAAGAGAGAGAGAAGAGGAGGAGAGGGAGAGAGAGAGAAGAGGAGGGAGGGAGAAGAGAGAGAGAAGAGGAGGAGAGGGAGAGAGAGAGAAGAGGAGGAGAGTGGAGAAGAGAGAGAGAGAGAGAAGAGTGAGGAAGACTACTGAAAGCACGTTGTAGCCTATTGTAAGTTGGTGAGCTTCATCTGCTGAAGGCACTGCACAGCTTTTCATTAATAATTGGTACATATTTTACGTTTCCATTGTTTACTGGCAGTAAATGGTAAATATTTTTCATGTCTGAAGCTAAAAGTTAATCCACGCCCATCCCAT